TCTGGGTAATTTTAACTATTTGTAATTATTTTAATTAACTGGAACGTGGCTATCTTGGACAAAGTGAAGTTTTGTGTGTTGGTGATTTCTTTTTCTACTATAAATGCCTCTGATGATGGCTCCGTGGTGAGCCGAAACATGTAAGGCAGGTGGTGACGAGGTGGAAAACTTAAAAAAGTGTCACATTTGACGGAAGGAACTTGATTGTTAATTGGTTAGTGTGACGGACCAGAATGAAAGACCTTAAAAACAGAATATGTCTGTAAATTTTAGAATAACACCCAAACATCAAATTTCATGAAAATCTGTTCATCTAGACTCTAACTATAGGTAATTATTTTGGGATACATATATTCCACCCACCCACCCACAATGATATACTGTAGAGTAAGAGTAGCCCCAAGCAGAGCTTTTTCTGATGGAATAAGTAGTTTTTGTGCTTGCAAATTTGTAGGCTTTTAGATCCCCGTCACTCTCCTTGGCGCCTGCTCTAACTGTCACAAAGTGGTAATCTGCATCAACCAAATGAAGTCCGGTTTATAATTGTAGGAAAGTCAATTGTCTTCGGTGACTTTTCTGTGACTACTCTAAATACGTACTTTCCAGTGCACCTACAGTGGTGCATCCTGTATCCGTGATTTTACTACCCTAAAATGTCGTTATTCTTAATAGACATACGAGAATAGAACACCTTACGGATATGTTCAAGAAAGCACCAGCTACCGCAGCTCCTGCCACGGCCAAGGTCGAAGAATGCCAGCAGTGAAAGTGGCTAATGGCGAAAAAGTTTTATAACGCATGTCATACATATGTAGTCCTATTTCTTGTTGCTATGACGATATTGTTATAAGTATTGTATTTTTTCATCGTTTTATGCGCTTTTGGAGCCGCGATAGCTCAGTCGGTATAGTCGGCTGGACTAAAGGATTTACTTCCCCGCAGAGCCAAGAGATTTTTCTCAACTCCACAATGTATACATCGTTTCTGGGGGTCAACCAGCCTTATATCCACTGGGTGCCTGGAGCTTTTCTTCCAGATGTAAAGCTGCGGGAGCGTGAAGCTGGCCAGAAACCCCCATTTAGTGCCGAGGTCAAGAATGGTGGAGCTATATTTCCACTTCCTCATTCGTTTTCATAGCATGGTGCTTAAATAATTAATCCTAGGGACACTTACATGTACTTCTTAAACGTTTTTACCTGACCCTGAAATAAATTCCTGGTATCTGAAATCTTCTACTAAACTACTTGTCTCCCAATATTTCCGGATGCCGAGTGATGGAAAATATCTCTTAGATTTTCTGCCAGTTTTCCTTCGTTTAAACTATGGGCTATTACAGTGCGTANACTATTACTATGGGCTACAGATTATTTCTCTTACCGATGTGTCAGTCGACCTGTAACTAAGGCAGTTTTATACACTGATTCGTAATGAGCTGGGAACCTGTGGAATGTGATTCAATTCGTGGTAGAAGGCATATATTTTTCTTCACAGCGTCAAAACCGCCTCTGGGGCCCATCCAGTCTCCTGTCAAAATGACGCCGGGGGTAATTTTCACAGTGGTAAGGCGACCAGGGCGTGAAGCTAGTCATGAATCTGTATACTGAATTTAAAATACGTGGGTCTATATCTTTATGTCTTCATGATGTGGCACTTGATTAGGCATAAGAACAATTTTTTAACGTTATTGTTAGAATTTGAAATAAATTTTACAGCTCCTATTAGTTCCTGCTCGAAATTTGAAAACAGAAAGTTGAAGCTGAATTCGAACATCGAACTGGTTAGTAGGACCCATCTGCCGGTACATAAATACTTCTGTTCTTCGTTTGAAAAAGAATTGGTGCCTGCTCTCCGACCGTGGTCTTCTGGGGTGTGACCGTGGATACAAAATTTGAATCTAAATGTGAAGGAATCATATTACTTCGAAACGTCGATGTGTACCTACAACAGTACATAATGCCATAGCCCGGTAGATTACAATGTGAACATTCACGGCCGTGGAGACTTGAAACTTATAAATGTACTTTCAATTAAATGTAAAATTAAGACGAAATGTGTTTACTTCAAAACTGCTTCGCTGGAGAAATATCATCAACAATTTTATTACGTATATTATTATTTATACCGTATATATCTCCTTTCTATAAGAGTAATAATTTATATCCTAGCGTCGAAAGAACTTGCTGTACACAAAAAGTATTTGAAAAAAAAAGGGTTTCGTCATTCCTCATTAAGCCACCAAAAATGAAATTAAACTTACTGGGACCGTTCAGTTTGTCACAAATCTCATGCCAATTCGCAGTGCGCAGAATCAGTCAGAAGAATCACGAAGCCGTGCGCGGAAAAACACCTGAGATGAACTGGAGCTCGGCCGAGCGCTCTCCTTTAAATAGCGCAATGGTTACAAATTCGAACTTTAGTAACAACACTGACCACTATGAGAATTTCGGTCGCAAGACAGAATTGTAGAATCGGAATAAATGGTTAACTTATTGGAACCAATGAGAAAATAGATAAGCCGAAAGAAGATGCAATGCTAGGAGATAATCCATAGGTTTTATTCCCGTAGCCTGAAGATAACCATGGTAGAAGGCAATATGTGTGGTATTGCAACAGCTGAATAGCAATAACGCCACATTACTTGTGGCCGAAACAGCAAGCAGTTCTTCCATACCAAGCGACAAATATTGTCTGCTTTATCCAAATCTGTAGTCCTTTACGTCAAGACTGGACAGGCCCCTGTTTAGCACTAGTATAAGATTACATAATGCTAGTCTGCGAGGGGTAATAAGACAAAGAGTAACTTACCTGGAGGAGGGAGGGCGTCTGGGGCATGTGTCGGAAATTAATAGCAGATTTGCTTGCGTATAAAGGCACAGAACCACATACTTACTTACTTACTTACTCATGGAGCTGAGCCCTTATGGAGGAGCCTCCAATTCTGCAGCTACCCAAGAATATCCCAGAATTTTACGGAAGCCGAAGTTTCATAACCGTGTTCACAAGAGCACTGCACTGGTCTCAAACCTAAGCCAGTTCAATTCAATCTATACCATCCCAACCTATCTCTCTAAGATCCATTTTAATATTGTCCGACCACATACGCCTTGGTCTTTCCAGTGGTCTCTTTCCTTCTGGTTTTCCTACCAATATCCTATATGCATTCCTTGTCTCCCACATCCGTGCTACATGCCCTGCCCACCTCATCCTCCTTGACTTGATCATTCTAATTATACTTGGAGAAGAGTACAAGTTATGAAGCTCCTCATTATGCAGTTTTCTCCAACATCCTGTCACTTCTTCTCTCTTTGGTCCAAATTTTCTCCTCAACATCCTGTTCTCAAACACCCTCTGCCTATGTTCTTCCCTTAATATCAGAGACCAAGTTTCACACCCATACAGAACCACAGGCTAAATTATAATTTTGTATATTTTAATTTTTATGTTTTTGACAGCAGACGAGAAGACAAAAGGTTCTGGACCGAATAGTAGTAAGCATTACCCGAATTCAGTCTCCTCTTAATTTCCTCCTGCATCAGGTTTTAGTTTGTTAACTTTTTCCCAAATATCTGAACTGTGCCACATTTTCAGAACATCTGTTTCCTGTCTTTATGTCATGATTTCGCCCTGCATTTTGGTGACGAGACAGTAACAGACACTTAGTTTTCTCTGTGTTTCCTTCTAGACCAACCTCTTTACTTGCGTCAATTAAAGTTTGTGTGTTTTTCTTTATGGTATCTACATTATCCCCCAGTAGATTCACATCATCAGCATAGGCCAACAGCTGATGTGTCCCATTTAATTTCAGTCCAACCTGGTTTCCCTGGACCTTCCTAATTGCATATGCTAAAGCAAAGTTGAAAAGGAATGGAGATAAAATATCTCCTTCTTTTAGACCATTCTGGATAGGAAATTTATCAGGCAAATATTTACCTCTACGGACTTTACTATACGTTTCGTTTAAACATGTTTTAAACAGCCTAACTAGTTCCATTGGTACCCCGAACTCTATGAGAATACTGTGCAATACTTCCCTCTTAACCGAATCATAGGTTTTCTTGATGTCCATGAATAGCTGATGAACTGTCTCATGGTACTCCCATTTTTTCTCCAATATCTGACGAATGCAAAAATCTGACATGAAGTTGATCCGTTACCTTAACCTTGAGAGAATATAATTGGATAAAATTTTGTACGAAATTGATAGCAGTCATATTCCCTGATAATCACTACAGTCAGCTTTTCACCCTTCTTTTGCACTGATACACTAACAGACTCCTTCCTCTAATCAGGCATTTTTTCCTTATGCCAAATAGAAATAATTAGCTTGTAGATCTTAGAGTGTAATACTTCGACTTTTGCTTGAATAAGTTCTGCCGGAATACGGACCTGCTTCCGGAAGTAAATTAACTCTTGTCGGACAACTGAAGTAACAGAAAATCCACCAACCGCAGCGAAGAAAATACTTACACGCTGTGGTAAGTATGATTCGTAAAACTGGAACTGCTAAACAAGGTAATCACAATGTAAGGGCATTGCTCGAATTCTTCGTAAAGCTGCCAGACCTCAGCGCTTTTGTCCTAGGAGCAGTCTCAAAAGGAAAATATTTACATGAAAAGAAATTTCGAAAGATTTTTTTCTGAATATATAGTACATTACTGGGAAGAAAAGGAATAGCCTTATACCGAGAGAGATAGATTTACTGCATATTAATGCAAGATATCCGATATATACTGGTACAAAGGCCAGCACAGACATCTACGGTTTCATGAATCAGTCTAATCACACTAGGTATTTCTTTTTCATGTAAGTTATAATTATGTTAAATATTAAGTCAATATGCCTCAGTAGAACGCAATATCTTAGGCCAGTTATCCAAGGATGAGTTTGTACAGATATGTACATGAAAGTAAGATCATTACGTGGTTGTTTCTACATCGATGAGCAGAAATATATTGACTCGTTGCAGCAGAAAGTAAAGGTAACCGAATTAATCGAACTTCTTCCAAACATAAGTAACCGGACGCTAGCCTGCGTGCTTAAGAGAATAACTGCACTGACAGATGGAGTCGATGTCATTATTAATATTTAAATATGCAGAACGTAATACATTTTTCTTATAAGAAAGAATGCACAAATGTTGCTGCACTAAATTTATTAGATTTAATATGCATGTAACTGCATCTATATCCCACTGTGGCGGACCGGGTTCGATTCCGAGTCTGGTCAAGTGGGATTTGTGGTGGACAAAGTGGCGCTGGGGCAGGTTTTCTCCGAGTACTTCGGTTTCTCCTGTCAATCTTCATTCACCAAATTCTCCATCATTATAATCACCCGGGGCAGGTACAATAGGCCAATCAGTGGCCGCCGTGCCGAGTGGACCCAGCTGGACTCCACTCTCCACTAAGCGAATTTAAAAAAAAAAAACTACATCTTCATAATTTTGGCTAGCTAAGCTCGTTCTGAATTATTTTACGTTCTTTTCTATATTAAAATGGAGCATAATGAAATAGGGTATGAGGGCGTTAACTGGATCCAAATTGTCGATAATTGGTTTCTTTTGCGGTAATGAGCCTAATTGTTCCATGCTTACAATGTTTTCTTTTACCAACTGAGTTACTGTTAAGACAGTTAAGTCAGAAACGACTGGCATATGAAGTTCGTTTAGAATCTGTAAAAGTATGATGTTTTGAAGCCTTTGTTTTGTGTCTGTAGGTCATAATTATTTTTCAGAATTATAAACTTAGATCGAGAAGAAAGAAACAAGTAACAGTATTTAGGATATTAACTTCCTAATCTGTCATTCAAATTTAAATACAGTAAGTCGGCTACTAACGTAAACTGCGAAACTCAGTTTAATGTACTGCATAACTTGTCATCACACAAGTATCACATATGCAACTGACCTGCGTATTGCCGAAAACTGTCAGGTGATATTCCAGTCTTCAGCTGTTGATCCGACGGTAGATGCTAATCGAATATGCACTGTGTAAACCACTCGAAGTCCATTGTGTGCCGGTCACGTGGAAACTGAATTAATCTTTCGGAATAGGATCTCGTAATATACCGCTAGGGGTGTCGTGAGGGCCACTTTATAATGATGAATCTATTGGCTACAGAGGGGAAGACAATAACAATTAGTTAATTCTTTTTCTTGTGCAGTGATTTGTCGACGGCTCCGCCTTCCTTTCGTTCCGAGCTGCTACTACGTTTCGCCAAAGCTTCCGATCCTTTCTCTGACAGTTTTGTCCTCAATTTACTTGAACGCACTCGGAAACAAACCAACCAACGAAGTCCTCTTCTGCTTGGCCAACGGACCGAGACATTTTTTTAAGTCTTAAGGCACGTAGAGGACAGGAAAACCAGAGCAGTTCAGGAATTCTTGTTCCACTCTTCTGGGTTGCTCTTCATAATTATTCAAGCCTTCTCACCTTCATTTATTCTGCAACTTCTCAACGTAACCTACTTCTCATGGCCGTCTAACACCCTCTGCTCCACTTTCAGGTTTACGCACATTCGTTGTGGCGTGGAACCTAACTTCAGGTGACAGTCAGACAGTCAGAGTGCGTGAGAGAAAGACGTTGGGAGAGCAGGAGACAAGAAGCAGCAGAAAATGGAGAAAGCGCGTAATGTGTACTGTTCACCAAACACGATTAGGGTGATCAAATGAAAGAGAATGGTGTGAGAGGGAAGATTAAAATTATACTAGAAATTTAGCATAGTTGGTTGAGGCATTATGCTACAAGCCGGAAGAAGGCGGGTTCAAGTCCTGATGATGTCACTGGATTTTTTCATTTACCTAATCCTTCCAGCTGCGCTATAGCCCTACGACTCAGCCTCTAAAAGCAATATTATTGGAATATTCTGGGGGGTAAAGGACCGCCGGCGCGTACAGCTGACAAATGTACCGCCACGTATGAGCCGATTGTCTAAAAAATGTGGGAACCTCAACATCTCACAACCCAATGAGCCTCCACGGCCTGTTACAGGGATACTTTTAGTTACTTTACTTTACTAGAAATTTATATGGAAACCTGAAAGGAACAGACGGTTTGGATAACAGAATTCTATTAAAATTGACCTTAAAGGAATGGATGAGATGTTGTGGACTGAGCTTAACTGGTTCAAGATATGGCACGGAATTTGTGGGTTCCATAGAAGAATAAAGACACTGCTATATGTCGCGCGTTCTGTGGGTTGTTAGCACTCGCAGTCGGCGAGTAAAATAATACATTACGAGTACATGTGGTCAAAGTGACGTGGTGTTTCAGGTAATGGCGTCAGGCGTAATTCTGATTACAGTCAGAATATGAAGCAGTTGTTTTAAACCTATTTAGTGTTTACAGCAATTAAAAAGTACACTGGAACCATGACATATTAAAACTGTTGTTGTTCGGAATGTAAACTTAAAACGCTGTTTCGAGTCTCCTTTGCTCGTTTGCTGCAATAGCCGCAACTTAAATATATATGAAAACTCTGCGTTTTCAAGTAACGTGTTCAAATATTCAGCAATAAAATTGAAAACCGAACTACTAAGGTAAAGGTAAAGTTATTCCTTCGCTTAATAAATTAAGCGCCACCCCATGAATATGAATGGGGGTAGGTGGAAGTAAAGCTCCACTATTATTTTCCTCAGCACTAGTTGAACGTGGGCTGTTAGCTTCACACCCCGGCCACTTTACCCCTGGAGAAATGTTCCCCGGTAATNCAGCCAGACATCCAACAACCTGTCGCTATACCGACTGAGCTATCCCAGCTCTGAAAATTGAACTGATATGACTGGGTAATCAGAAAGCCAGAAATTATGCGACTGAAATTATCTCAATTTTTTTATACAGCCATTATTTTTTACACAATACTGCATTTCGTAACGCCACTGCTTTCGTTGCAATGACAATCACAGGGTTGCAGTTATACCAGAGGTAAGTTTATGGGACCCAGGAAACGCGTACCTGCTTAGCTGTTCATTTTTTAATTTCTTGTAATATAGTGTACTTGGTACGTCGGCCACTAACTGGCCTATTGTAGCAGCATCTGATGTTAGATGACTTTGGAGAATTTTGGTAGAATGAGAATTGGGAGGGGAATCGAAAGCGATGGGAGGAAACCTACCTCAATGTCACTTTGTCCACCAAAAATTCCACATGAATTGACCTGGGACTGAACGCTGACCGCCACTGCGGACAGCCGGCGATTAACCGCTTGAGCTGCGGCAGAGACTTACCTGCTTACATATCACTAGGGATATTGTTCTGAATGGGGAGCTATGGACAGCCTCTGTGGTCTAGTGGTCAGAGTTACTGGCTACAGATCCAGAGGTCCTGGTTCGATTCTAGGCACTACCAAATTTTTTTTAGAAATAGCGGTTCTGGAACGGGGCCCACTCAGCTTCGTGAGAATAATTGAGGAGCTGTTTCAAGGATATAGCGGATCCGGTCTATAAAACCGAAGTTAACCGATCTGGAGATTCGTTGCGCTGACCACGCTACACCCTCTATCCGCTAAAGTTAGCACTAACCTTGCCGAGAAGCGGGGGTCGCTCGGTCGGTATAGTTCGCTTGCGGACTGAAACCACAAAATTTGTTGTTTGCATGGGGAGATTTGATTACTGGAAACATGAGCCTTAACTATTGCATCCTTGTTCGATAAAGAGGGAATGTGCAGTGAACAGCCGTAACATACTCGTACATGTATAGATTAATGCAGAAAACGACTACTTTTCTTTTGCTTGGAGCTTGACCTCATAACGTATACTGGATTTACAAAGTCGTGCGTCAATGACACGATTAACAGATAGGCCAATCCTAAGAGTTCTGCTTTCTGTCTGTTTCGAGCTGGTTTTTCATTTGGCTTACCCTTCAATCATGAAGATGTAGGCGAAATATCTGTTGACTTTCACATCGAAATTCACCATGTTATATCACAGAGCTCTTCTAAGATAATTCGGATTTCGGCCGGCAGGAACAACGACATGCACAGAAAGACGGCTGTGAGAAATCATGATGGACAGTGCTGAGATGACTGATCGACTCACTCTCTTAAATTCTTTGGTTCCGAGTGGAACACAGGGCTCTTGTGAAGCTTCTCCATCTTCTCCTCTGGTTTTCCAATGCCTTAACCTTTCTCCAAGTTTTCCCATCTATTATTTCCTCTCATATTGTCCTTCTCCAAGTTTTCCTTGGTTGTCACCTCATTCTAGTAGTTGGGGGGTTTCCAATCTAATACATCTTTTTCTATGGCGGCAGCTGCTTTCTTTAGAGTGTACGGATCCATACTCACGTTCTCTTTTTAATTCGGATGTCAATCGCTTCTTGTTTTGTAACTTCCCACAGAGAGTTATTTGATATTGTGTCTGGCAATTTTATGTTTAAAATACGTATTAAATAGCTATTCGCAAAGCTTTGTAGTTTTTTCATGCTTCCTTTAAAACTTTCCATGTTTCACGGGCATAAAGGAGAACTGATTTTACATTAGTATTAAAAATCCGTTATTCAATTTTCTTTGAAATATTTTTCTTCTTCCATACATGATATAATTGTATAAAAGCTTATTTGTTGTTTTTATTCTTTGATTTATGTCTTCATCTGTTCCACCATCTTTAGTTACTATGCATTCCAGGTATAGAAAACTCTATACCTGTTCAGTTTCTTATTAGCGATGAATACGGACTACTGGTCACCACGGTCTAATGGAGTAACACTAACCCAGAAACGGCCGCACATTCGATTTTAAATTAACTTCCAAGTCTAGGTACTGACTGTTCAAAAATCATGGAAATATTTCGTAATAGGTCTGCTTGCACCTCTGGTATGGAAGTGACTTGGTCTAAATATTTATTCCACCTTCCTCAATCTGTGAAGAACGCCAGGCTTGTGTTATAGCATATCCCATGTTCCGCACTAATGATTTCTGAAGTGGCATAAAAAATAATAAAAGAAAAATAAAACTGGGTGTGAATATCATGACTCTTTAATTACTCATTGTTAGAGCTAGGATTTAATGTAAATACATATTTTATTTCTTACTTTGTAGGTGGTCAAGAAATAATAATCTCCACGAATTGCAGCATTAGTATGGCTAAAGTTGAATTTTATTCTACACATTTTTATATATTTTTATCTCTCCTGCATAATTCTTTGGATGTTACACAAAACTACATATTCCGTGATATTTTTATTTACTTTCATTTTAAACAGGAAAGTGCCTACATCTTGTCGTGTGTATTTCGGTTAAATAGTACCTTACTAGTCGTTAACAAATATCTCTGATATTCCGTCTTACATGCAACACTCCTTTAGAAGTTTGTCTAAAAGTTACTACGTACCTATACAAAATGAGTCTTGTAAACTTGTGTAAAACGACATTGTACACTAAATGTTTCGACCGGCATTGGTTATCATCAGGTGTTTTAAAACTGCTTGTGGAGACTGCTATGCTTGAGTTTTGCGCTTCTAATATTCGTCGCGTAGTCCCATCAAACATTCGTGTTTTTGCAACATGCGTTAATAACTTGTGTTACTGGTTGTTTGCATTATGTGTTACTGTTCTGGACGATTATTTCTGTACTTACTTCGCCGCGCTGGGTGTTTCCTCCTGCTGCACTTTGTGTTTAGATCACAAGTGTTTTCTACGCAGGATTGAGGTTGTGTATACTTGCATACGAGTATGTAGTAAGTTTTAAAGCAATTTATAAAGGAGTGTTGCATGAAAGACGGAATATCAGAGACTTTTGTTAACTAATAAACAGTTTGCTACAGGATGCTGCAGCATAACCTTACTAATAACCTCCTCCACACTTCCAGAAGACTTTCTCTGCAATGACGGGGGAATCTGGAAGGAACTGTTTGTTCTATATAGCAGAGCAGTCTACAATCCCCACGTAATTCCACTTAGTAGTATGACCAGGGCGTTGATGCTTCTTTGTATTACAATTAAGATCCTCTCCCCTCTCACCAAAAACATTCCTCCACTCCGTACAACCTGCCTTCTTGACCTGAAATTTTTTACAGTGATTTCAGTTTTGTATGAGCAGTCCAATGAGTTAACCTCAGGTTTGTGAGTCGACGTCGTCATGGCGCCGGTTGCATCCTCTCTGATGTCAAAGTTACATTTGCGGATAAAAATAGACAATTCATTCACAGCCGCCAATAAAATCGTGACAAAAACACTGTGTAT